CTCACGTTCCAGCAACACTTAACTATGAAACACATCAAAAATGTTAACTTGGCCCTTAACATTAGCTGTTTATCTATAAGCAGTTAGCCAACAAACACGTTAGCCGTATGTTATCATTAAGGTAGCGGATAGGCGCAATGGCTAATAATAAAATAATATAGTTAATGTGGGAACAATGCAAAAATGTAAAACAAAAATGTGTCCTGTAAAATGTGGTATATGCCCAGTCATACTTTAAAAAAAAATACCGTCGTATACTGTGAAACCGATATAACTTTGAAAAATACCGTGATATAAATTTTTGGTCATACCGCCCAGCTCTTGTGTGTGTGTGTGTGTGTGTGTGTGTGTGTGTATACCTGGGGCTTTACTTCTTTTTTTTTTTTGATCGGGGCTAAAATACTTGTGGCTATAGCTCAGGCCTCATGTCACTCATGGTTGGGACCAGTGTTATTATCGTACGCTAAAACTGAAACAAAAATGGATAACTAACTAAAAACTAAATAAAAGAAAATAATTTGTGAAGTGAAATAAAAATGAAAACTATATTTACAAAAAAAACATGCCACCAACATCTTTTTACCTTCTTTATCCACAATATCTCCTCTTTCAAAGGATGATGTGGCTGCTGATCTGCCCCTTTCTTCACCACCACTTCAGTGCTTATCGCTTCCATGATTTACCAAAACAGTAGCATGTGGCACTCCGCTAACGGAATTTAATAACTATAAGGATATGCTGAATTTATACAGATTACTAATTTTTAGGCGTCACAATAAGCATCTCGTGAATTTTTGCATACTACAAAATTTGCTTATTGAATTGTAGGCGAAAATAATGTCCATATATAGTGCTGGAAAGCCGGTGTACATCATCTACATTTACATGCAGGAAATTTAATTGTTCAGATTAATCGACCAATTGGTAAAATAGTTGATTGATTAATCGATAGAAAAATACTCATTAGTTGCAAAAATTAAATATATCTGTCCCTGTGCATTGTGTAGGCAGTCAGTATTTTAAGTCCTCACCCAGACTCTGCCATGTCTCTCCTTGTTATGCCAAATCATTACCTACCTCCCTCCCCCACACACACTCACACACACACATAAACACACACACACACCCACCTAATTAATGCTAGAGATGAATTCATGTCGGATCGATGGAGCTGCGCTTCTCGACTGCGGGTTCCTGAGCATTTTTTAACAACGTTCGTGTGCCGCGAGGTGAAGCGAAAATTAGCAGCCGGGCTCGGGCGGGGCTGACACGCAGCCGAGTGTGTTTTTCAGCACGTTTAACGAGACACCATATGCCTCATTAAAACGTGTTAAGGTAATAAGAGCCGTCTCCAAGAAGCACTTCTTTGTGCAGCGAGAGCGGTGTGAGTTATCTTTACGGATAAACGGTTTTGGGGGACGGATGGATGACCAGCTGGTCAGAAAATGGACACACACGGGTTACCAGAGTAGATTTTACTGAGTTTTGACAAACACGGTTGTATTTAGCACAGTGTGTGATGAAATGCTTGTTTTCCTAAGTCCAAGACTGCGGTGACAGGGGACATGCAGAAAAAACATTAAGCAATAATTATAAATAACCAAAATTGGTGTTCAATTAGCAGTGTAGTAGTATAGTGACCGGTGTGTCAAATGAATAAATGTTTATATGTACAGTAGCAGATGACACATTTGCATAAGACCTGGGTGTAATTAAAAAGTGAGATGTAAATGGAAAGAGGTGACATGGCACTCTCGGAGGTCACCCGGCACGATCTCACTAGCTGTCGTGCTTTATTTGGAAGATTTGCTGCTGCTGGTTCCTTGTGTGAACATGAAGACTGAGCCCAGATTGAACAGATCGATAGCGGTATATAGCGCCTTGTCTGTGAAGTCCTTACTGGAACGAGGACCCCGTTAGTCTAGTGCAGAAGTTCCTTTAAGCTTGAATGGTTGTGATGTGCTTGTGGAGACACTTGCGGGGCAGCATGGTGGCTCACTCCTCTGGGGTTGGGGCTTTGAATCTCATCTCTGTTCTGTGTATGTGTCACTAGTGTGTGCCCTGTGATAGACTGACCCTCGATCCAGGGTGCACGCCTGCCATGTTCCCTGTGTTGACTGGGATAGGCTTCAAGCCCCCTGTAACTCTGACTGGGAGAAGCGACTGGAACATGGATACAAGAATTTTTTAAATTGCCTCCATATGTACATGAATTGAATCCATTCATCAACACACTTTTGCTCCCTGAAACTGTCCCACACTTTTAATGTTTATTTGAATTTTATTCAATATTTTTTCGGAATAATGAATGCACCATATCGACATTTTGTTTGGTTAGGCAGTCAGGATTTACGGTAAGAGCAGGAAGAATCCCCTTCCTGGATTGGCCCACCCCATCAGTGCAGCCATTTTGAAGTCCTGTGGGGTGTTTGGCTTGCCGTGGTGCAGCACACGGTTACATGCGACCGCTCCAAACGTGACACACAAACAGCTGGCACTGTCTCAACGCTGACATCATGCCCAATGGCGGCCCCCATCCCCTTCCTTTGCTCGCTTTTTCGCCGCTCGCTAATAATTTGTGTCGCATCCCTTTTTTTGCTATCCTATTCTCCTGTTTTCCATTGTTGGTTTTTTGAACTGTGCCAAAACAAAGAGACAATTTATTCTCATACATATGAAACTTGGAATCCATCCGGAGGAAACTCCTGGTGGCAAATACAGACATATCTGTCCAGATCACTGCAGGCTGAGTGTAGGGCTTTGAAGGAAAACGGCCATAAAACTGGCTGAGCATCATCTATCAGTTTGTGTTTGTGCTGTTGCGACATTGCTGACAAGGGAGAGACCTGCTGATTAAAGTGCCAGAACATTCCAGTCATGAAGATGATGGTCTTTCTGTATGATTTAATGTATTACGCCCCCCACCCTCCGGCTGTAGAATCGGACAACTGTTCTTTATTTTTTGCTTTCAGGTGTCATGAGTCTGGTCGGACATTGTGCTGGCCTGCACATCTACACAGGGTTCTTGTATGCATTTGGTTCAGGGGTTTCTGGACGATTTGTAGATATTGGAGGGGGGGGGGTGCTTTAGTATATGTTACATAAGAGCTTTAAAATGGCCTTTGGTGTCTGATGTGATTTAAGTCTGCGGCAGCTGGTTGGCTTTCGGAGGTTTTGTTCATGTCTGACACCGCGAATTTGAAAGGTTGCTCCTTCTCCCAGATCCAGGTGTACAGCTTACTGACGGGCCAATCGGAAGTGACGGTGGGGAACGCCGTGGGTGACTTTACCTGCATCAACCTGAGGGACGCCCCTGACCACCTACTAGTGTGTGGAAACAAGGACCAGAGGTACTGGGGTGAACCGACTGTTATGTTTCTGTAGCTGCTAATGTCTCCCAATACAGCCCGCGGCCCTGGCTTTCTCCTCCATACAGCCCAGGAGGCTGCGTCCCGTTCTTCACATTCAGATGGGGATGTAGGCACCTTTAAATCGCAGGAAGAGGAAAAGGGGAAACGTCCACAGAAATTGGGTGGTCTGGGTTGAACTGGCGCTGAGTCCACGCAGAAAAAAAATCAATGAATCGAACCCTTCAGCCATCAGCGGGGGGGGGGTTGGGGTTGGAATGGGAAACAAAGGAGCAGAAAATTGGTCTTGAGCAAAAAATGGAGAGAAAAAGGAAAATAAATAAATAAATTCGCCGCAGTGCGGAATCCAAGTGGCGCTCAGGCGGATTGAAAACTCATTGCTGAAAGTGTTTCTATTTTGTTTCTTTTTTTTTCTTTTATAATGGTTTTTTTTCCCCCCCGTTCATTACCTACGGGGGAGACGAGGTACGGCTGGAACAGAAAAGCGAGGCAATCTCTGTCCAGCGGCTCTGCCTTCAAGCTCCTCGTGCCCCCTCACATCTGCAGGCCGAAGAAAAGAACCCACCCCCCCTTCCCCCCCCGGTGCTAGTGACAGGAGGCAGGATGGCGTTTGGCAGAGACGCTCGCTTGGCCTGCCGTGGAGGATGAGCCACCTCCCCCCAAATATATTGGGGAGCCAAAGCTGGGAGACCCTGCGTCACCCTGAAACGGGGGCAGCTTTTAGTGATCGTCCACCTTCCCAGAGCAGGCGGATTAAGCACGAAAGCCCCCAATTCCCGCCCCCTTTGTCCATTTTACTGATTACGGACCTGAAAGCCAGGTTAGCCTTGGCCATTTGGAACGGCTCTTAGACGGGGAACAAAGGAAGACGAGGAGAATGGGCCGGAGTTGCCATGGCCTTGAGTCGGAATGGCCAAAGGCCAGGGCCAATTTGTGGTTTGCCGTTATGTCGGTCTGCTTTTTCGCCCCCTGACTACGCGCGACAGCTCCGAGAGGGGTGTCTGTTAGGGAGCTCTGCGTGAAGCCGTGTGGGCATCGTCTCAACAAGGAGGGAAAAGGGACGCAAATGAGCCCCACGATCACGGGAGACAAAAGACTCGCTGCCGATGGCCGAGCATCTCAGCGGTAAACTTCATCCTGCCCGGCACGCATTGGTGTCCTGACTGTTGGACATTCCAGCCATTAATAGCCATGACGTTGATTCATAGCAGGCCGTCTGTCCATTGTCAATGACTGTGGTTTTTCTTTTCTGTCGGAAAACTGTCTTCAGCTATAGCTACCCTTTGAAGACAAGGAGCCTCTCGGGGCTGCCTGTCACCGTCCTGTGCGGGAGAATCGTTATCTTGATTAATGAGAAGTGGGTTGTTTACCGTCATGTCGGTGGAAATCGGGTTTCGTCGCAGCGTTAGATTTATGGTGGCGAGACTAATAACTTTTAACCCCCCCCCCCACCCCCTGCTGTCCTTTCACAAAGTGTGCTGTCCTTAGGAATACCCCCCCCGCCACCCCCCGGGGCGCTTGGGAAGCCCAGCATTCGCTTAATTTCTTAAAGCAGAAATTAAATCTTAGTGCCACAAATGAGATTAGGTTTCGGTAATGAACTTTGGAAGGCTCTTTGCTTGAAGTCATTTTCTGGCGTCATGGCTGTCCAATAAAAATTCATGAGAGCAGATGGGAGGCAAATCCATCGAGCCACTTGTGGCTCGTTTAGCCAGCGTCCTTGGTTTGGAGCCCTGCTTTATTGACACTGGAGATTAGCCGCTCCGTCCGCCCACACAGCCCCTGACATATATCGCAAGTCGTATAAAGATGACTCAAGCAATGAGATCTTTGAGGCGCTGAGCTGATGTCCTTCGCGTACATGCTGACCGCCCCTCCCCCCATCCAAGCCCCCCATGGCACTGCACTCACCAAACCCCCTCATACGGTTGGGTTTTCCAGGGTCCGCGTCTTCGACCTGCGCTGCGGCTCCTCAGTTGCATCGCTGTACGCTCACCAGCTGGGGGTGACCACCATCCAGGCGGACGACTGGAAGATTGTGAGCGGGGGTGGAGAAGGCCTGGTCTGCGTCTGGGAGATGAGGATGAGAACAAAATTGTGGGAGATGCACAACAGGTTAGGTCAACCAGCCAAGCTATTAGTAATTAACTGGTTAATTAATTAGAGGAAATTCACTATCATTGTGTTATGGTAGGAGTTATTTCTTACACATCACATCACAGCAACAAAACTGGCTGCAATTAACCCTGTGAACAATACAGAAAGATTTAACATACCAATAACTTGAACCAGATGGTCACAGATCTCGTAAACACAGCTAAATCGAACCCTTCCTGTTCAGGCTGTAGCCCAGTAACCTTCATGTGATGTTCATGAAGCCTGTATGTGTTGTATCGGACTCAGAAGGCAGGGTGCCTGTTGTCTTTCTGTGTGAGAACCTGTAACCAACCGGTGCGTTCTCAGTCTGTGGTCCTGGTCTCCGCGCCCCCACCTACGGCCCCTGTCTGTCTGCAGGCACCCCGTGAGGCATGTCAGGTTCGGCACCAGCCGGCTGGTGACGGCCAACATTCCTGAAGAGAAGACTCCTCGAGGGGCCTGCATCACTGACGACGACCTGACTGCCCACCGCAGGTTACTGACCTGCCCGCTGTGTTCGCTCGCGCTACTAACTTTCTAGTCAAGTAACTGCCCAATAAACTCTCTAATGTCCTTGTATAGGGTAGCTTGAAAGTTTCATTCATATGGAGTGACCTCTTCAATGAAAACTCTAAATATTTAATTATAAATGATTTAAAAATTACTCAGGAGACGCATTCTAGGACAAATGGACATCGTGTAGCATATAGCATGGCAAAGGCAGCGGTCAGCCTTGTACCGTGACTCTCACTAGGATACATGGATGCCTCTAAAAATAGCAGCTTCTGCAGTTGTGCAATAGTGCTTTGACTCATCGCCTTACTTTGACTCACCACGCCCATCCCAGTCCTTGCATGTTTAATTCCTTTATCTTACCTTAAATTATAACTTAATCAAAGCTGTATACTCTGGACTTGAACCAAAGACCTGCAGCATTTAAGAGCTCTAAGAGAAAACTCTGCTGCATACATGTTTGGTATCTCTGCTCTTCTTCTTAATGTTGAGTGTCTATAATCCGAAGAGATTCCCAAAAACAGAAGCGTTTGCCATGACTTGATTTGCGGCCAGTGCAGCTGTACCAATAAGCAAACCTGTGGTAGGTGATGGTTGCCAGACTGAATGTTTGCTTTTCGGTCTGGCCCGATTGCAGGCACAGGGGTGTGGTCTACCTTTACGACTTCTCGGAGGACACCGCCGTGCCGGACCATGTGCTGCCCATCTGTCGTTCTGACTACACAGAGGATGCTGGTTACAACTACAACATCAGTCTGGCTATGCCGTACGACGCCATCGCAGGCTCCCGCGGTGCCCTGTGATGTCACTCTGTCACCACGGTGACAAACGGAGGCTGGGTGCTGGGTTGGGACAGTACATCCTACTGTAATGTTCATTATACTGTATTTCTAATAAGTTCTCATCTTTTTATACATATGATGTTTTTAACAGTGATCATTTTCAACATATATATATATATATATTCTCTTCTGGTTAATCTTTTACAAAACCCGTTTTATCGGTCACATGGCTTGTAAGATAAGATAATTGTGTAATAATGAAATGTCAAAATGCATGTACAAAGTTTGGTCAGGTACCTTTAAACCATCACCCCCACCAGTGAGAGTGAAATAAGAGCGAGTTACAATGATTTATGTTCCAGATGCACAGTGAGGATGGAGTGTGGTCTTTGTAACCTGCTGTCCCCTATCTCCTGGAAGTGATACATACACCCCTGTTATGACAGTGGAAATGTAAAATATGTACAAGGTTGATTGTATATTTGAATTTCTTTTCCTCTCTGTTGTTGTATAGTTAGTTGAAGTGAGTTATGATTGAACAGGGCAGTGTTAAGCATCACACCTGAAGCATTTTGGCTTTTCAGGGCGGATGAATGATTTTCACTTCCGACAGAGGGATATCCCGATCCATTGTTTTGGTACCCCGATCATCTGAGTAAGCCTCATGATTCTGCAGTATTCTTCCTTATGATTTCTGCAGGTGCCTAATTAGATCCGACGCGCTGTTGCTGCCTTCCCCCGAAAAGATGGCGCTGTAAACATCGCAAGCAGCGATTGGGCTACGTTGAGTTTCCAATTTAAAGAATTTCCACCTGGCTGACATCTCAGCAGTTTGTAGTTTGAAGCCCTGTGCCACTGGTTAACTGCAGCTTGTGACGGAACCTTACAATCTGCGAAACTGATGTAAATGAACCGGATGTGGGAAATTAAATAGATCAGGCTTTGGACCCGGCTGCAATAGCCAATACCAATCAAATAAAAAAAGCCTGGGCCGGCCAACTTCTGAGGCCGATAATTACCTGTCCATACTTACCAACATATATGCCACATGCAGTCCTTCAGAGGGTAAGAGGCAAGCTCACTGCCTCGCACACACTGGAGGTCATGTGACAGTGTGCAGAACAGCTGATTGGTGGATAGGCACCTCTGAATTTTGTTGGGAGTGTTTATGTGCTTCAAATCAAAATACCCATGGCTGAAATTCCTGCACAGGTGAAGTTCACACCTGAACTAAATGTTGTGGCATTAAACTAATATTTCCTAAGAATGTACATATTCATCCATCTTCTATCCATGTTGGGGTGAGGGTAACACGGGTCCCTGGAGTCTAATCGGGCTGGAATGCACCCTGGACAGGATGATGGTAATTTTTTTTTGACTTCTTGCCCAAATAAATTTAAGATATGCGAAAGCTTTTGGTGAAATCCTACTCTTGGGAGGTCTGAGGAAGATGAGGCTCGCGACCACATAAGGAGGATTGCTTATCACGTTTGCTGACATAATCACTTGGGTACACCCTATGAAAATGAACTTTAAAATGTACTGACTATCATTAATAATATTACTTAGTGAATTAATCTGTGATAAAACACTTAGGTAGATATTTATGATCTTGCGTCATTTCCAGTCACTCGACATTTTTTGGGGTATGGTTTTTTACAGTTTTATTTTTCAATTCTTCAGATAGATCATCACACATTTTTTTTGTAAGGCACAAATCATTAAAAAGGAAAAAAAAAAAATCATCCAGAATAATAACCGCTCTGTGGATTCAAGGGAAAAAAGTAATGCAACAATCAGTAGTCCTTTTATGCACAAGTGACTGTCTGTGTCACTAGGGGGCAGCAAAGCAGCACATGGTTATAATTGCTTTATTATAGTGCAGAGTAAGTTTAGCTTTGGCCCTGAGCATGGTGTGCTGTTTGATTCTCACAGGATTGCTTCATTGTAGTGCAGCCAGTAAAGACAGCTGGACAGATCCACCCTTAGAAGTGTGTTTCATGAGCAGGGCTTGACTGTGGCGATTAAAAAAAAAAGCATCCTTCATAGGTCTCGATCCAACAATGGTGTACAATCCTTTTTGAAGGATAAATTTGCAAGAGTGTTTGATGAGACTGAGATCAATTGTCTGTAATGCAGGGAGGGCAGTAGTTTGATAAGGATGAATCAATATTCACAAGGTTGTTTGGCTGTCAAACTGGGATCTTATGTTCCTGAAGTACAACCTTCATTCCAGACCTTTATCTGGTGTATAAATTACTTTTATTAGGTATACCTGCTGGTTAATGCAAGCAGCCAATCATGCGGCTGCAGCTGAATGCATACAGTACGCAGACGTGGTAAAGACATTCACTTACTGTGCGCTTAAGTGTTAGACTGGCTAAGCATTCTTGAATGTAGTTGATTGTTGGTGCCACGTGACGGTTCCAGCATTTCAGAAACAACCCCAGTCCTGGGATTTTCACATACAACAGTTTCTAGTGTTTACAGAGAATTGTGTGGTTAACAAAACATCCAATCAGTGACATTTCTGTTGCCAAAAACCCCTGGTTAATGAGAACGGTCAGAGGAGAATGGCCAGACTCGTTAAAGCTAACAGGAAGGCCACACGTGCAAAAATAACAGCCCTGCCCAGCAGTGGTGGGCAGAATGGCGACTCTGAACATACAAATCATCAACCTTAAAGTGGGTCTGGAGGTTAAAGTGGATCCTTCTTGGTACTTCTAAAAATATTTTTAGAAGATGGTACTGAAAAGTGCTTTGTCCCATCTGTGTGATGGATGGCGGTGAGCAGCCGAGAATAAATGTTGATGTCACATGACTTTACCAGAAGGTTCCATAACTTATCTGGATCCTTATTTACAGATACTTGTGGTTTCCAAGTGTGAGAAACGAACATGCATCTTCATCTCAATCTCGATTCCTTTCCAAATCTGTAAGTGAGACGTTAGTCAGACCGTGTTTGAGATTCTAGCAGAAATTCTTTACAATGTACAAAACTTCTTTAATGAAATAACTTCAGCACAAACCTTCACAAAATGTTCAAAAGTGATTCCTTCGTAGAATTCATCTGGTGCCTGAGATAATTATACATTCTATTAGTAGTGTGTGTGTGCATATATATATATATATATATATATATATATATATATATATATATATATATATATATATTATACACACACACACACACACACACACACACACAGTGGTACCTCAGTTCTCAAACTCAATAGAACTCCAATTTCTTAAAAAAAATTATCTAGAACTCGATCTGAATCTCAGAAGTTGAACTGTGAATGCCAACCTAATAACCTACATCAGCTTGCATCATACTAGACATCATAGCATTAGCACATAATCAGTAAAACACTACTGCACACAATTGATTTTATTAATACCTCCCAAGGGGGAACTTACTCAAATGAACGGACGCTCCTGGGGTTGCTGAGAGACATGGATAAAAAGCGAGATGACTCATTTAACTGGCCTGCTTCCTGGCTACAGAGATAGATACGTACCATGTGAACCACGGCGAGGCTGGCCACCTCCAGCATGGCTGCGTCTGCTATCTCCTTCGCCTCCTCTTGGTCTAAGTTGTCGCTCTGTGAGATCAGCACCTGAACCACCTAGTGAGGAGATTGGGGATTTGTAAGCTGGAGGACCAAGGCCTGAGTTATGCGCACCTCAGTAATTTAGGGATCTGTGTCCAACATCAGAAGGTTGTGGGTTCAAATCCCATGGCTAATAGAGCATCAACAGCAGACCCGTATGCAAGACCCTTTACCCAGTTTTCAGACACTGGCTGACCCTGCTCTCTCATCGTCACTTATACATCACTTTCAATAAAAGAGTCTGCTAAAAATAAAAGATATGTAGGTATAACCATCTGTACTGCAGGACTGGTGTTTCCTTACATGCCTGTACTCTTGCACGGTGATCTTGCCGTCATCATCAGTGTCATACATGTTGAAGAGGACTGGGAAGGGAAAAGCAGAAGAGGATTATGTTTGGTCGATTGTCACAATTCTGAGATTCTGCTCCAACCCGGCTATTCCTGCCAGCTCTCATCAAAGAATGGAGCACACAATTAAATAAGTACATCTAAGAAATAAAACCATGTCTTTGTATTGTGGCAGGCGTTGCCGCGTCAGAGTGTTCATCAACACACGCCTTTTAGTAGCAAGACTGGATAATTAGCAGCCGACAGGGAGATTTTTTGGAACAAAAGCTGGGACACGTCATGGCTCTCAGGAATGAAAACCACACAGCCCTACTCTAAACATCATTAAGCGAAACATCAGAAAGCAGCCACTAATTACCCACATTTCCATTGTATTCTCCTGTTTCATAATTTACAACAACATCGCTCCCAAGCAATGTTTCCCAATCCGGTCCTCAGAGACCCACACACAGTCCACGTTTTTGCTCCCTCCCTACGGAGGGAGCATAAATGTGGACTGTCTAGCAAGAAGTTCAGAGGAAACAAAAATGTGGACCAGCTATGGGGCCCCAAGGACCGGATTGGGAAACACTGCTTCCAAGCAATTGGGTGTGGAGAAGGTCTCCAGACTTATGCTTAATTGTTAATGAGAAACAGAAGCTGCGTTTCTTCTATCTAAGATGAAATGGTTCCGCATTGGGCCCGTTCCTCACAGTGGAGTTTCCGCTGGCGGAAGCTCTCTCGCTCCTCGGCTGTGAGGTTTGGATCTGTTGGTAGGAAGTAGGACATGACGATCAGGAACTCCTCAAAGCCGATCTCCGACACAGTGCCCCTGCCGTTGCCCTGGAAGTTCCTGCACAACAATCGCTGGGTTATATACTTCTGTCTGTGTCCTTGTGCCCAGTCAATGGGTCAGGACCACCACACTCACTTCCTAAAATTGTACACAGCTTTTCATAATAATCCGGGCCTGTGCTTTTGGCCTATTCCATCTGCTTAATTAACCATCTTTACTATGCTACACTATAGCTAGTTTTTCACCAAATACACAGTAAAATACAGATGCTTCTCTACTTACGAACTTTCAGACATACGAATGGACTGTAAGTCCAAATGCTTTCATTAGGCTCCCGTTTCCTGTCTGCAACATCAGAATTTGTTCTGTGTGCCAATGCCGCCTAGTATGAATTTTGGCCGCTACTTCCACCGCGCAGCATATCGGTAAGACGTGCTCTCGAGATCAAAGTTTACTTAGTTTTTATTGTGAAATATTCTGTGCATCCATTATCCATTTTTGTTTTGTGTATCATTAGTAATTTGTTTTAGGATAAGAAAACTTGTATTGACTTCATATCATTTACCTCATGTGGAATTCCTGTGTTACCAGCTATTTCAAGTCATGTTGATTGATGTGTAGTTAAGTCCACGTTAGAGTATGTTTCCCCAGTCTGGTCATTAACGTCTTGACGTTTTCATTTTCCTTAGTGTGTTTCCCGAAATAAACCAGTGTTCACCTGATTTTGTCAGCTCCTGTGCTGCTTCCCCGTGCCGAATACGTGACAGAATGACTGGACTCGAGAAACATACTCTAACACGGACTTAAATAGACTAATTAACACAACTAGAAACAGCTGATGACACAGGGATTCCACACAAGGTAGCGAGGGGGGCGTGGCACACAGGAGGATCGGCACAAGCAGGGCATGACACATTCTTGCTTATGCATGTAGATTTGAGTACCCTTAAAATGATGTTTAATAATGACTTACGGACATTTCAAGTTATGAACGACTGTTCGGAACGTAACTCGTTCGTAAGTAGAGGATCGTCTGTAGTACTAATTTTTGTGTTCTGTACTGTAGTAAACTAGATGGAACGACAACAATATATTCCCTGGATGGCCCTGATAATCCCTCCTTCCATCTAATTCCTACTCCTTCCACACCCCTCAAGTTCTACAAGCTCTACCCCCCGACCCCTGAACACTCTCACCACCTCACAGGACAAAAAATCTTTATTAAAGGTATTAAAGGGCAACTTTGTGTGACTTGTCTCACTGTAATCAAGTTTACCAGATCTACGTCTATGACTGTCCTTTCATGTGTTACCACTAAGTGACACTGCTTCAGTTTTGGTGTGATTTGTCTCAAAATTTTATCAGTTCCAGATCTTCACCCCTAAAACTGTCAAATACTTTCTGAGTTATCTTGCTAATAAGCTAAATGTCTATGGTGGTGGCAAACCGGACCCAAAACCATACATGTTCTTCAGCTAAGGAATACAGTTTAGAGGTTAAGAAATGCATAAACAAACAGACTGAAGGATAATTGCTGGAGATAACTTTGGCAGGTACACATGTATGCATAGCCCACTTCATTACCCATCATCCCAGGCTCTTCTCCCTTTTTCTGCTAAATTTCAGTCTTACTGTGTTGTTATGGTAGAGTGCAGCTAATAAGCTATTTACAGTAATTATTTTCATTGAATAATCTATACAGCAAATGCAGTTTTCTTTTTTGATGTCTTTTGCCACAAGCCATGAGGATGATTCATCTTGACAAGCTGCAGACAGCTGGCCAAAGACATACTCATTGGAGCTTGCTTTGAAAACTGGTGATGTCAGTTTGGATGCCCTTTTAGGGTTTAGGGTTCCCAGAAAAAAAGCCTGGGTGTGGCTCTGCTGGTGTTTCAGAAATATCTGGAGGTTTTTACGGTAATTTTTACAGATGTAGCTCAGATGGTGTGCTACATCACCCACCTTTTATCGAAGAACGCTTCAATAATCTGGGACTGGATGGGGTTCAACTCCAGGTCCGAAATGACCCTGAAATGATCTCGTCTGCAAATGAAGATATTGCTGGTTTTTAATTCGTAATTTAGAAGATACATGTCCTTCAAAATACATTATATTTATTTACTTGGCTCCATTGTGGGTTAAAATTAGCCCTTTATCAGCTGGGGTACAGCTAAAGCATAGATATATTAATCAAAACAAGCAAAACTGCAATAATTATAAGCTGTATTGTGTGTTTCTTTTTCAGGAGACAGTCTCTTCACATCATTGTATTTCAATTCTAAAAATGGGGGAGAGGTTGGGTATGAGCAGAGCCTGTAGGTGAGGAAGCCGTTGGCTGGCGATGCAGACTGAGCTAGCGGAGAGCAGGCAGCCTTACCTGAGCTTGTCTCCGTTTTGGGTCAGATGCTTGAAGCGTCGGTGGAGGTTTCGGATCTGCTCCGGGGAAACTGGGGCGGAGACAGGACACACCAGTGAGCCCCGCAGAGACGCCTCGGCGAAACGCTTTATCGTTTCCATGGGCAGAGCCGGAGGCCATCTGTTCAGGACCTCGGCAACCCGCCAGTGTCACTAGAGCAAATCTGGGATTTGAATGGGTCACACAGAGACAAGCCACGCAGACAATGGTTTTGCCAGGGGGAGCCATTACTACCGTTACTATAACTACCAGTGATGTCGCCTAGTAATAATCCAGCAAAACACGTCTTACCGTGCAAAGACGGCACCATTGATTTGCATTAAAATAAAAAGAAACACATCAAAGACCATTTTTAAAATTAGGTACATTCATACATATTAATGCGTTGCATACATATTAATATGTTATACTAATAGTTTATTGTTACTTGTGCACAAATAATTACTCAATGTCAGTTAATAAATTGACTGATGGTGATTTACAATGTTAGTAAATGTGTCATTATGTATTTATAACAATGTCATATATTGCACACAATTTGCCAAAATAGAATTTATAAGTAGAACAGACTTTATTAATCCCTGTGGTGAAACTCTCTTTTTGCATACCCCATTTTGCTCTCCATGAGACACGCATACAAGGCACAGCAAGCTTGGGGGTCCCAGCCCAAGGTCAGGTGGGGTGCAGCGCACCTGGGGCTGGGGGTTAAGGGCCTTGCACAAGGGCCCGTGGGCATGTGACTTATTCTGCTGAAGCTCGAGCTCAAACCGGTGACCTTCCGATCAGAGGCACAGAGGCTAAGCCTGCTGAAATTAGATCAGAACTGGTCGAGGCAAGTCTTTGGAAAGTGAGACTAGTATCGCTATGTAAGACGGAACAAAGCTTAATATTGTGAGCAGAACTGCAAAGCTGGAAGCCTCTTGGTAAGGTGTTAGCACACACATGGGTTCCCTGGACCGGGGATGGAACAACATCAAGGATGCACAGTCTAGAAACCATACTGATTCCCACTGGACCATCATACTGCCTGCCCATATCTCATAAGGGAAGCATTTCTGGTTACCTTCCTTAGTAATAACAGTAGATGGCTTAAGTATTTACCCTGTACTGAATGTGTTAGACTGTTTTAAATAGATAACTGCTTCCCAGCCCTGAAAGCAATGCTTAGTTCAAAGTCAGGAATACACACCTCATACCCACACAAACAGTTCCTGTTCAGGTAAACCAGCCAAACTGGACCTGTTTAGAGGTATTCATCAGAGAATTAAAAATCTAGATAATGACAAGAGAGACACAATGGAGGGTACTGTTTGGGGAATGCGAACAAAGCGCAGAGATTCAGGAGTTTTACACAATAATCATTTTACAATGTGTACAGGCGGGGTTGGGGGTAATGTTTTAGGAGACAATTTGATATTGGGAGCAATTCATTTAGTGGGCTACATTTGTGCATTAAAAATAGGAAATGAAACGGATCCACTTTTAGATCAATATCACACTGAATAACTGCTAAGAGACGCTTACAATGGCTTTTACAGACATGAAGAAAACGTATACTTACTGTTTTAACAGCTCAGACACATGGATAATGATACGGATGTTACAACGCTGGGAACATGATGGCGCCACTCAGTACTATTACTCACATCGATAAATTACAAATATTTATTAGATGGGTGGACACAGGATCACCACTTACCAAGCTGTTTACCGCACACTTCGGTATTTACCCGCCAGGGTGAGCGATATTATGAAAGCTTTAAAAGCAGTACGCCCTCTGTATAACAGATCTCAGAATAACACATAACTCAGATAATTAAAATGAAAATTAAAGACCGCTCCACTATACATTAAAATATCATTTGAATGTGTTGTACAGGTTAAATGTTTGTCCTGCTTTGATTAAATCTACGGAACGCAAGTTAAAGATGTTTTGCAACGAACGCATTACAATTACATTTGCAAAGCAGTGTTTGCAAATTCCCTGGCAGGAAACCAGCCATCACCCACACATCAAGCGTTAACGCGAATTTTTTTTTTACTATCAAGACCATCAATTTCAATTTCTCATCGTAGCGCCAATATTCAGCCAGTCTTTCACACAAATAGGAACTAAACTGCTGAAAAGTCCTTAATAAAAGTGCATATTTGTTCAATTATGTGCATCTGCCTTTCGTTTTTATTTTGTAGCCTACTTCACTTAATTGGCTTCGGTTGGAACATATTTAACGTTCAGATTTGATATAAGTTGTATGTTTTTCGTATAATTAGTAGTATACATGTGATATAAAACATCTTTAAAAGAGTGAAAAATCTAGAAGATCTAAAACTGGAAGTTAGGAAGATGCATTGGTTTGGATGTGTGATGTATTCCCTGCAGAAACAAACAGTAGCGGGGTTTAGCTGGTCTAATTAAGATGGTCCTAGATGCTCATGTCCCAGCTGTTGCTGCTCTTTGATGGTTTAGCTGGGTGGGTAACCATGCAGTTGGTATGCTTATGTAGCCAGCCCATCAAGCTAGGCGTGCTGGTTTGACCACCTAAACCTGCCAGAAATACCATTATACGCTCGTATAACCAGCTAAACAATCAAACTATCATGCGAAAACATACCTTAAACTGGTCAACCGGCTAAACCAGGTCGAGCGCATTTTTTTCAGCAGGGTTGTTACTACTGACAGTGATGGTACACCACTTCAGCGATCTGCTGCCATCATAAAATCCACTTAACTACCCCTGTTTTAACTGGAAGGAAGGTCTGGGAAATCTGGCGCAGCACGCATTTAAAATGCTTGAATAAATAAATCTGATTATCGTTCAACATCTGTTCAAAGCCAGATTCATTGTCAAGCCTCCATAACACTGTGTATTTGGTTCAATAAATAATAAAAAAATAAAAAAAATGCGACCTTTGCTCCTATGTTATGAATAAAACACCCTTTAGGAAAAACGGCTTAGAATAAAACTTTGTAAGTATGAACATATAAAAATGCGTGACCCGCTTCTAACGTAGAAAGCTCGAACAGTTTTGAGGAAGTGTGGATCATCCACCAGACAGCGTAGTTATACTGTAAGTGTACCGAATACTTACATCCTGTCCTGGTCGCAAGGTCTTCATAATTATCCTCCTGATGCACGGACTGGAAAGCCCCCATTACTTTGTTTTACTTGTTACTACTTATTATTACTTATTAATAATAAATGTATAAATTGCAATAATAATTATTATTATTATTGCACGAAACAGACAAGAAAGATAATGTAGAAAGCGAGGAGCAGCAGTACCCCGCAAGCTGCCTGGTACCTGCCCTCGGCCGCACACTACCTGCGCTGAACTGCGCTCCCTCACGCTCTTTCGCTTTCGCAATTTTTACGGAACAATCGGCTGCGGCGTCTCCATGGTCCTAGTGCAAGGCATTCAATTCAGGCCCTCGATTCCATATCCAGGCCTTGTTTTTCAGTTCTCCTAGGTAGTTAGTTTAACAATTACTGATTCTGATTGGTCAGAGGCTTCACACCTGGCTCACAGGTAAGGAAGGCTGGAAAATCAGCAGGGCTCGGCCCTTGAGGACTGTGAGTTGAATAGCCCTGTCCTAGTGCAACTAACCATAACATTGAAACACACATATCGACTTCCTCTCCGTGTTCATTAAGGCTTTTACAAGATGCCATGCCTTATAATGATTTTGCATCCCACAAACAACGATTGGTGGCAAATCATTAGATTGGTGATATTACAGGTAAGTGTCACTGTTCCCTTGGCAAATTCACTTTGAAATACATCACAAGTGGCTAAAAGGGCAATCCCTGAATCCTACAACTACTGAACAAATTCTCAGGTCGAAAAATCAGTTCAGGGTTAAGACAATTCCACTTAAACATTTGGGTATATTCATTCCATCAAGGATATGCAATAGATGATGATTAAAACCATTACACGGTCTAACCTATGGTTTTCTTTCAGATCCATTTTATGGTGCATTATATTATGAAAACTATTAATGATGACTCAGTGACCTTAGCATTAGGTGTACTATAAACATAGACTAACCCAGGGGTCTTCAACTCCGGTCCTGGAGAGCTACTGTCCAGTAGGTTTTCTATGGTACCTGGTCTCCGATGAGTCACACCAGTTCTCAGGTAAATACCGGGAGCAGGTGTAGCTCATTAGAAGCCAGGTAGGATAGAAAACCTACTGGATAATAGCTCTCCAGGACCGGAGTCTGAGACCCCTGCACTAAACCGTGCACGTTCACACATTGCATAAATGACCACATATCATTAATCACTACCATTTTTAATCGGAAATATACAGGGAAAAAAACACATTGTGAAGGTGAAAAGTCATTGTTCGTTAGTGGTTGTTTACTACAGTAACTGACAGGTAACCTCCTTGGCTTGTCGTCACGCAGCGGCGACTGGCGGGGGCTTGGCTTGATTCTTGGCCGGGACGCGGGGGTGCGCTGTGGCTACACGGCGGCGCCGTCACCACTCTGAGGCTCGGGGGGTCTCTCTGCCGGGTCGCGGGTGCCTCCCTGGTAGAGCTCGCTAACGACGCGCAGCGACTCCGCCAGGTCCTCTGGGTAGCGCGCCTGCAGCTCCTCGTTGGCCACATAGTGGGTGCCGCAGAACTCCGAGAAGTAACGACCCACCTCGGGGTGCCCGATCTCCAGTGGCTCTGCATGCGGCTCCAGGTTCTCTGCGGAGAACGATGCGGAAAACACTGCATTTGTGGAGGGCAGTTTTCAGATAGAAACAGCTTCATGGTCTGTTACACAGCAGAGATCTACACAAACTTAGCTCACTGTATTTAGGGTTAAAATCTGAATAAATTATTGAACATCAATTGGGGGGACGGACCAATATCCATGTATAAGCTAATGTTTTAAATACCTGGCAGTTTGCATTTACACTGTGGTGTTGACAGTGAATGAGTAATTAGCACGCATTGATGATGCTGCACCACGGGGTTGCAACGTCTGCATACTTCTTCATTTATTCTCTGACTTTTACAATCTGAAAATTGTATTTCAGATTTTGCATTTCTTAAGAATGGGTTTTAACAATAAGCTGTATATAAGCTGTATATATTTTAAATGACTGGGCATAACCGCAGACTTTTTAGCTAATTCATTGTGATTACAGTGATTTTATTTTAAATTGCTTAAAACTGAACTTCAGAATGATGTTGAACTTGATTCAAATGATGTTGAAATACAGTAAACTGATGGTCTATTTGCTGTGTGATTTTTAATTCCTTACAGCAGAGAGGAACAATTAGTTGTCTGCACTGAACCATTACTAATTGTCCCAAGATGTATAAGTAAGCAAACTGACTCCTAATCACGAGTGATAGATGCATTTTGATGACTAACAGGATTTCACAACGATGGGGACCACAGGTTTTAAATGTAAATACAGTGGTACCTTGGTTTGCAAGCATAATTCGTTCCAGAAACGTGCTCGTAATCCAAAGCACTCATATATCAAAGCGAATTTTCCCATTAGAAATAATGGAAACTCGGATGATTCGTTCCACACCCCAAAAATATTCATAAAAAATGATTAATACGAAATATAAAGTAAAAATATATAAAACGAATTAACCTGCACTTTACCACTGAAAACAATCGTGGATGGTGTGAGGGAGACGAGAGAGAGGAGAAGAGGAGGGTTATTTTGTAGGATGACTTAATTACCACTGGGGAAGCATAGTTACACAATTCTGAATATTCATTAAATGGCCATTTGGGTAGAGACTATTCAATCATTTTCAATCACAAAGCCACATGGACATGAATGAAAATTCTCTGAAGTTCAGTTCACAGCAGGTCTCGCTGCTGTAGTGGACCTTTCGTTCAGTAGCCTTACATTAATGGGAGCTGGGTGGCCCGGCTGTTCGTGTCCATATAGGTGGAGGAGGTCACCTACCCTGTGCTGCATAGCGACAGGTCCCGTCCTGCACCAGGACATTGTAGAAGGGCTGGTTGGCTCCATTGGACAGTTGGTGGACCCTCATGGTGGTAATCCACTCATGGCTCATGGTGCATTTGGGGTCCCACCCATAGATCACACAGTTGTAGCCCGACCTGCAGAAACACATTAATCCATCTTCTGTAACTGCTTCTCCAGTACATGGACATGGCGAGCGTGGAGCCCGTCCCAGAAAGTGCAGGGTAGGGGGACGCCCCGGAGGACAGGGGGACGCCCCAGAGGACAGGAGGACGCCCCAGAGGAGAGGGGGACGCCCCGGAGGACAGGGGGACGTCCCGGAGGAGAGGGGGACGCATCGGAGGAGAGGGGGACGCATCGGAGGACAGGGGGACGCCCCGGAGGACAGGGGGACCCTCTTTGTGGACATAGACTCACTAATTCAGCTGCACATTTTTAGATTGTAGAAGAAAGCAAGAGATCCTGCAGGAGACCCACACAAATATGAGGAGAAAACACTGGAATCCGTGGCCATGGCAGCGTGAGGCGCCTCACCCAGCCCCCTTGCTGTCCACTGCAGAAACACAAAGCAGACTTTTTTCTTTTTTTTTTTAAACCATCTGGCCCAGACCTGGGTGCTGAATAATTCAGAAGGGCGCTCAGCCATTATAAAAACAAAGCCAGTTTAGCCCCATCTGTGGCCCCTACTTCTGACATGTGGGACAAATTATCGAATCAGATTCATTTAAGGACGACAGGGGAACAAACATAACAAATGCTGAGAACCATATTAATGTATAAATGGTTTTGGCTGGTGGGAAGGGTGGGATTATAGGCTCTGCTGGTGGGAAAGTCTGAACGGCAGGCCGGCGGATCGAGTACCCAGAGTACGCAAACGGGGATATCGGAACAGACGCAGGGAGAGGGTGGCGCCTGAAGCTGTGACCCCGGCGTGGGCAACGCACCTCTTATGCTTCATGACGAGGCCCACGGAGAAGCGGACCTCTGCGTGCTCGGTGGTGCTGCGGAGCTTAGCCTCCGGTTCCCCCGGGTGCTTCTTATGCTGAATGTGCTCCAGCGTGTGCTGCACCAGGTAGCCCACGGCGCCGTGCTGGGACGGGTCCAGGGCCTGGATGTGCTGCAGGATGTCCAGGACCTGGCGGCGAGGGGCGGGACGGCACAAACACACCATATCCATTGGGCACACGTACGCTATAATACTGATGTTATACTGATACGCTGCAATAGAGAGCAAGATTATCCCAGGCAAGGTTGTGGGTCATATGGCAAATAATATTAATTTAACACACATGCATTATAGACCCAGTTCATGCTTGTTGAGTGTAGGTTATTAAGACAGCAGTAAAATTCAGCTATAGTGATTACATTTTTTTCAGAGTGACAGATTTATTCATTCATTCTTTTCCCCACTTCAACCAGCAGGGGGCGCTGAAGCACTCCCTGAAAACATGGCTTACTGCAAATCAGGAGTTTTTCTCCAGTCTAAGAGACATTAAAACGTTACAGGGGGGGTCAAAAGGGGGACCAAGAACAACTGGTCTGACCAGCCGTACAGCGGTGGGAGGAGAAGGGTCATTAGACCACACTGCTGACCTTTTCTGGCCAGATTCCCAGGTGGAAGTACAGCCTGGCCTGTAACAGTAAGTACTGGACGTTGTCAGGGTTGATGGTGAGATAGAGGTCCAGGGAGTCTCTCAGAAGCTGGTAGGACTTCTCACTGCCCTCCCTGAAAGGCACATGCAGGTTAAAGATGCAGGCGTCGCTCGCTGGCGCCCGCGCGGACACGCGACGTCAGCGGTGCCGGGTGGGACCTCACCCCCGCTTGCCGATGTTGAGGAGATTTCCCACCATCCTTAGCAGAAGCTCCGTCGTGCTGATGCAGCTGTAGTAATCCTCGGTCACCTGGTGGCCGATGAGATACTCGCATTCCTTGGCGGTGAGCTGCTTGCCCTTCCCAAAGGCGTCGATGTAAACGTAGTCGTAGATATCCTCACTCCTCCAGGAAATAAGAAAAACTGTATGAGATGGTTGCTTTTATGTAAAACTACAACAGGCATAGGGCTGAAGACCTAGACTATGATCTCTGCAATAAAACCTGTAGTAAACTCCCTCTGAGCTGGTTTTATATTTAAAGGATATATATTAAATTAATCCCAAGAAGTCTGCTACTATACTACTATGCATTTAATCCCCTGTTTCTTTCCTTTTAACACTTTAGATGATGCAGAGAGTAATTAAAGAAATATTGTTAAGCACTCCTGGAAAAATGCCATCATAAGTACCACATTTGGCTAAAAGGGAATCTTCAGGGAAATTAAATTGCTACTTTGGCTCAATGTATAACTGGTGTAGAGTGTGAAGGGGGAGCTTCCCTGAGACAATAACCTCAAAAACGATGAAGAACCTGCCAAAAGCGTTAAGAGACTTTAAAAAGCAGTGACCCCGTGATGCGGCACAAGCTCAAGGAAGACACCAGCGCTCTGAAATTATCAGGACACGAGGCAGCACTAAAAACACCAATGAAAAATGTGCCAAAACCTGGTATTAATTCATACGATGAAGCTGAGAATCAAAACATTCACGGTCTTGAAATCCATAGCAAATTGGGAAAATCGTACATTTCTAATTTCCAAAAATAATAATCAGCAAGCTCTTTCCCCTTTAGAAATGAGGCCACTTTGCAGAGGTAGCATCACCCAGTCGGTGAGCCTGCCCCCCCCCTCCGCCTCGATGGCCTCAAGGATGTTTATAAAGCTTGTGTCACCTACATGGATTACGCCCCGTGATTCAGCCCAGCCGCAGTACCGCACCAGCATATGCAGTGGAAAGAAGGGGCTTCTTTTAATTCCTCTAAAACCAGTGTTTCCCAATCTGGTCCTCGGGGACCCGCAGACAGTCCACGTTTTTTGCTCCCTGCCAGATAGTCCACATATAGGGAGTTGGCAGGTAGCAAAAACACAGACTGTCTGTGGGTCCCTGAGGACTGGGTGGGGAATCACTGCTCTAAACATATAAATACGATGCAACAGGAAAGAAAAAAATACTGTTTTATTTCTGTTCTTCACATCAAAGAATTTCAATTGTTTTGATACAGAATTTGTATGCACACAGATTTCCACATAGGTTAAAACAATCGTTGTCTTTAGAAGTGTTCACTATTATAATTGGCCAATTGGCATATGTATAATTTTTTACTTAACATAAAATTGACTACAATGCATCCCATGATAAGATTTTCTATCACATAAAATTAGTGCCACATTATGCCCTATACCTGCTGGATGGATGGATGGATGGATGGATGGACAGAAGAAACAAACTTCTTAAACACCAATGGATACTTATCTGTTCAATCCCACTCTTACCTCATTGGCCGCTGGCACCAACGTAGCAAAAAGTGATTGGGGAAGTTAACTGGTTCCAGCCGGACGCCCAGTTTCTGGGCCAGGGTCATGTAGAGGACAGAGAGGCTGATGGGAATTCCTGTCCTACGGAGCAGCACCTGGAAAGGGAAGGCAAAGGCCACCAGATGCCCTGGGGAGCTGGAGAGAATGAGCAGTGCTCACTGCGTTACCACGAGCGACGAGCTGCAGTTACCTGGTGGATGTACGAGTTCAGGGGGTTGTAGTAGTCTGTCTCATTACCCTTGTACTTCAGCTGATCATACAGGACGGAGTTGAGAGCACAGATCACCTGCCTCTGCAGCTCGAAGTCCTCGACCACGAGGCAGTTACCTGCAGACGGCAGGTGACCCAAGGGCTCAGGCTGCAGTACAGCCCACTCAGCTACCTAGCTGACACATTCATGCACCAGTATGAATTACTGGGACAGATCGTCAGGGTCATCTGGGATTCAAGGGCTTACATTTAGGTTACAGGTCCACGTTCTTTGCTGCATACGGCCTCCTCATATTCGATCACACATTTTCCTGAGCAGTTTTCACCGATGCAACGATGATTTAGACTGACCTTGGTCCGCTCTCAGGCTGGAGTGGGAGGGGTTGGTCCGGCGCAGAGTCTTCTTAACCTTGTCTGCGATTTCGACCAGCTGGGCAGTTATGCTCTGCAGCGAGACGTCCGCCAGCGGATTACAGTACTGATCCACCAGGACGGCACCTAGCGGACGACAGCAAAGTCAGAAGTGTCTGCGCAGACCAGTGCAGCTGGAGTTCCAACCCCCTGCAGCTGAAGCACCTTCAAGCGCAGATTGTTGCTCAGCTGGCTTTTCCAAGAAAGCCTTCAGACTCTTCAGGATGTTCTGCTGACGGAGAAAGTAAAGGATTTTCTTTGCATAGTACTTCAACGTCAGGCTCTTCCTGTCAGACAAAAGAAAAACAAAACGATGGTGGAAGTTTAAGAGAATAACTTTGTATGAATGAACAATATAAAATCTTGCTACACACTCATTACAGAATTAAAACTAAGTAAATTATACAAGAAAATCAGCATTTCACACTGAAGCCTTTAAAATGAGGAAACGAGTCATCGGGAAGCAGGAAAAATCAGACGAATCTCGTGAGACAGAACATGCACCTTGTGTCAGAATTCAATATGGAGATCAGCTCATCTTCACAGAAGTGCTCTGGGGCTCCCAAGGACTCGATCTCAGCGAAGCTGTCCCCCAGCACCTGGCCAACGCAAGGCTGCATTACAGATGTCAGGGTTAGTGCATGGCGCATGTGCTGCGAGCTCCCGCCGCCTCCGCAATCAACACACAGGTCCTGTTAGCGCCCTTCCGGACAGAAATGCTAAATCACTGCGACAGCATCACAATGCAGGAGCACAGAAACCAGGCAAACGGGGGGCGGGGGATCATTACTGAAAGATACATTAAAATAAAATAAAATAAAATAAAATCATTTATAAATGTTAAGATTTGCATCACAGTTTTGTTTGGGAACTGAAAAACTTACAAAATTTCACTAAAGAATTTTCCAGTGAAAAAGTTCCTTAAAAAAAGATATAATTTATATACTATAAAATATAGTTCATACTATATTTTGAGGATCACAGTGTTTTAGAGACACCCACGTTAATTTTAGTTAAGTTGGAAGCAAGGGGTTTGTAACAGTCTGACTGAAGCACATTCTGTTAAGTCTAATCCATTTATGATTATGTAACACTTACAACTTCAGTAAAGAATCTCTTGGAAATGGACTCCACAGTCCTACGGATCTGCAGACCGACGACGTGTCGCGTCTTGTACTCCGTCCTCCAGTCCCAAGACTCGTTTGGTCTGTAATTTTTCAGTAATCTGGGCCACCTGAAAAAGCAGAGATCGTTTACTCCATAGCAAGAGGAAGAAGCAGCCAGTATACAATGGTGTACTGAAATAGCATCACACATCTGCATGACTGACACCTGGTTAATCCAATCAGCTAACATGACATGCTCCTTATTGCCCTAGAATTTTTAGCGGTGGTGGAACTCCTGTATCAGGTGCATAGGGTCATGTTTATTATGAGATTTAGCTTGGTTTTTGGACCGGTTAGTCTGTCTCTGCAGATGATAATTTTCCTGAACTGCTAACCTCACCCCTAAAATGAGGCTACAGTTTTTGAATTTCAATCTCTCAATATGTGGTATGACACTCATTTATTTTCCCAATCCAATCAATCAGTTTCCTTTCGGAAAGTCAGGGCTAGAAGGAATATTATGGAGGCTTAACTAAAACTAGGCAGCTAATTAAAAACAGGCCAATTACTGGCGGCTCCTGGAAGACTTGATCATTGCAATTTCAAAATCCAGCCAGTTAATCTTTCCGTACCCACCCAGTGCCCCCAGCAGCTCTGCACAGACCTGAATCCTGCCGGGATAACCTAATTCCCAGCATTTCGGCTCTTATAATATCGGAATAATAAAACTGTTGCAGCGTGACAGTCAGATACACTCATTTCAGTTAGTGCATATGTATATAGAGAAATACGGAGCTATTTATTGTGTCCAGTGCCATGATAAAGTAAATGATCCAGAAGGAAAGCCAGACGGGAAAGCTGCATATTTTTCAGAACAAGGTCACCCGAACTGTCCTTACACAAGACAGTTTAGCCAAATGAGTCCCTTTTCGCGCCATACATGATTGCATTTTAGTTTAAAATTACATAGACAGCATTGCGTTACTAAAACTGATGCATCAGCAGAATGACAGCCAAAACCCCGCACTCATACAAATACAGTACAACGGTACAGCAACACCTCGTTTCTTCTTGGCACTCCAATTGCAACCCAAAAATCATGCATGGACGACAGCTGAAAATAAAGTACAGTATTTAAATCGGGGGCTACAGCACGAATGGGCTTAATCTCTCTCACCTCACCTGAGTTTATACTGATGTTCCCACACCTTTCCCCTGCCGTGACATACATCGTAGAGCCTCTTGCAGCTACAAGACACGTCGGAGATGTCAGCGTGGCCGAGGACCGGGAAACACAATATGTGCTCCAGCAGCTCGGTAGGAAGATCGGTCAGCTTTTTGCTGCGGGCTTCGGGAAGACCCCCGTTAGACAGCGAATGTTCTTCTCCATCCCCAAACGTGGCCATCTTTACTGTTTACACCAATTACCTCATTGCTCAGGGACCGCCCCTTTCTGGTGCAGAGGGCTGAGCTGGGGCTGGGGAGAGGAAGGGGAACACGTGTACGTCCACGGTTCTGATCCAATATCGTTAAATTGCAGTAAATAGTCGGCAGTGTGTTCAGAAAAAGATGTTTGTTGGTGTAGCCTGATACTGATTGTGAATCGCCATAGAAGGGGAAGACACATGGCTTTGATACGAAATACGAGTTCATACGATAACAACCGGGATCATCTGCATGTGTGACGGGCAGTGAAGCATTTCTTTTGCATAATGCAGTCAAAAGACAGGAATATCAAATACATTACAGTGTTAATTACGCAAATATAATACATCTAAACCAGGGTGGTTTAACAATACAGAACAACAAATTATTTTCTCTACCCATACGTATGCAACTACATAAATCGTGTTCTTTTTTAATCAAATTCCACTATTCTTGCAACGTCCCCTCTAAAACGCCACTTTAACCACAATCTGTGCATCTACAACTGAACTTGATGAAGAATCAGTGGGCGGGGGAAATACCGGATGTGACGTAATATCAGCTCGAATGGGTTGTGTGTTGCGTCGATTTCTTGTAGTGTCCCAATACCCTTTTGGCCCACCTTCGAACCCTTAGGATACTGATCCTGAATGGCCCGCAGCATTAATAGCGCTCACAGGCGTCTTCTTCAGTTATACGATTCCCCTTGTCCAGTAAGAAATAACGGGAACGACGTTTCCCAGCAATGCGGTGTAACTCGAGTTTGTTAATGTTGACCAAGTCCGCGCAGGACCGGCCTCGTCCCAGCGATTGGTCCCTTACAGAAGCGGCCGCCCACTGCAAAGTTTGCGCTAATTTGCTGCCGATGTTGCTTTGTCTGTATATGCGCAACTTTTTGAGCGAATCTAATAAGTTACATATATTTTTTCCCCGAGCTCCTGACTTTTTTTCCCGAAGTGCATCGCGTTTACCGAACCATTAAATAGTAATGTTTTAAATACCTAAAATGCGCATTTAGCTGTCGAACCAGTTCTGGATGTTTACCGAAGAAGTACGCGCGATCACTAACTGGACGTAGTTGTGAAGCGATGAATGTGTAAACTGGGGTGGCGGTGCACCGAAAGAGGACAGCTTCAATGTGTTTCAAGCCAAGCATGAAAGTAACTTAACCCTAAAGCGAGGATGAGGGTGGCGGCTGAGTGAGGTGGGGACCGAGCTCTCCACCCTCATGTACAGGTACGTGTCCAGCCATGGTCTTTTGGCGGAATATAGGTAGACGGAACCCACACTTCCATTCGGATGCCTTAAAGTAACATACTGATCGCTTTTTAGTGGATTTAACTATTAAGAATAGTTTCAGAATACAAATGGATAACACCTGGATCAGGTGGAGGAGTCGATATTTGTTAAGGGGTTTGGTGGACTTAGTGTTTTGCCCTTTTTAATCGTCCACACAACAGAGTATTTTATATCATATATATATTATATGTCTGATAATTAATCAGATATTGAGGTATTGATCTGCTATGGAATGATATAATTTTCCGTAAATTATTATTCCAGAAAAGACTGAGCATTACCTCCTCTCCATCATGGCAAGTGCGCTAGCATCAAGGATGGGTCTAAACGCCTTATGGAAAAAAACGCCAAAGACCTTTAATGTCACAATAGCAACAATGGATGCCGATTTGAAATTTAGTTGTGAGGTAAGTTTTCACGCAGTGCCGATTTCAGTATTTATAATTGTATTTTTGGGTTCCTTCTCAAACCTCCTTATTTTTAAGCCCTAATGTCAGTTTGATGTATACTGTTCGTGTTTGTATATGTCTTATTTTGTGTAGTAAGTGTGCAGATATGTTTTCAACTAAAATATGAAAAAAACGATAGGACGTTTCCTTATGTTATTTACATTTGGCCTTTGTGAATGTCCGATCGAAGAATAATGAAAGACAAGAAACAACAAAACAACAAAAATATCTCCAAATGACTTGTATATAGTTTAAAAATTTTATTTTCTCTTTATTTCCACCAGCTCTTCGCCATTGAAAACGTGGCCCTGTTCTAATTAGCTAAATTATTAAAGACTTGCATGGGTTCTCAGAGTTACATATGACCACCTTGGCGCGTCTTTACTCTGCTTGGTGTCCATTTCAAAATAACCTATTTTTTGTACAACTTTTTATGTAACGGCAACATAACATACAACATTATTTTCCTGACTTGGTAATTAGAAGATGGGGTTTTTCATAGCCAGGATCTGTCCAGATACAAAAGTGGGTAAACAGGAGAATGAGGAGCCCAACAATTAAGAGATGTGTTGGTTGGGCGTAGGCCTCCTCAAAATGAGCATGGGTATGGTAACTACTGCTTTCAGTATCAGCGTCCTTATCTAGGCCAGTAGCTTGTCTTTAAATGGACATTATCAGGGTTCCCCCTGGAGTTTGATTTCAATTCTTCACTTTTCTTTATATTTTTGCTTCTACTAATCAAATTCTTCACTTTGCTTCAGCATCTGTTTTTTTTAGTCACTCTCTCGCCGCTTCTTA